ATATATATCACGTATATATACTCTGTTTATGGCTTTTGTTGTGCTATAGTTCCGAAAAATGAGTCAATAATACCGTCTCCGAGAAAGAACTGCAAGTCCTTTTATCTTCCATTCGACTTCGCAGTTTCGTATATTACTAAACAACTACTGAATTCGCAATTTTTCAAAATCAAATCACAGAATTGAAGTGACAGAAAGTGACATCAAATATTTGATTACTTCAAAAGAATGATAAAGATGTCTATAAAACGCAGGTGTCCCTACTGTTAAAAACTCGAAATTTCACGTCGATAATTTTCAGATTTCGAAATAATGTAATATCTTCTCAATATTGATTCGTCCTTCCTTCTGTCACAGAAAAAAATAGTGTATTATACACGGGAAAAATATTAGATTTTAGCTCACGGTTTTTTGTCTCCCTCCGCTACGCGTCGGGAGACAACACAACCTGGAGCTAAAATCTACTACTTTTTTCTCTTGTATAATAAATAACTATTATCATGAATTTAGTATATCAGAAAACATATTGAAAATGGGTTCGCTAAAAAAATCCTGGGCGGACTATTTTTAATTATTTTTCGAAAAATGATTTTTAATTAAATGTTGCAACATCAGGATAATAAAAAAAATTTGTCCTGACTGAAAGTATAAAACGTATAGAATTTGCAGCCGTTGGGTTGTCTACTATTTACCTGGGCGAATTACTGGGTTGTCAGGTAAACACAGGTATATCGATGCCAGTTACTTTCACTGGATTGGATAATTAAAAAAAATGTATATCATCATAAGCGCTGTTTAATTGCGAACACGTTGATATAGGGTTGTCTGCGAAAATTCCGGTCCTATTAGGGGTTTGCGAATTTTAAAGATTTTAATTTCAAGGCGCGTGGAAGTGTGTGACAGAGAGATCCGAGGTAAGTATACTGTGTAATAATAAAGGACCCAACATCGCAGTCGCTTGTGATGGGACCCTGAATAGTAGAAAGTGCGCATGCTCGGTGTGTAAACTATGGAGGGTAGAGGCAAGGTCTATTAACTTCTATAAGGTTACCTCATAGTATAGCATTATGGTGCGGGGGTGCGCGGAGGGGCATGACGTCAGTGTTTCCCCACCACGTGATTGTTGATTTCGTTTGTGTCACTGTCAAATGAATTGGAAAAAATTTTGAATTTGAATTCGAAAGAATCGCGAATTTTAGACTTTAGTTGAAAACAGGATGACAAGAAGACTGAAGATATCTTTGAAAGAGTGTGAGAGGTTGTATAATAATATGGTGTAGTATTATTCAAGGCTGGTCACATCATAAATATCATGATATTATTGTGTGGAGACAAGAGTGGATATAGAACAAACAAATGTTATGAAATGCCAGTTTGGCAGCCTCCACATGAGATTCAGATAATTCCAAAGGAAAATGATGAGCTGTGGCAATATGTGAATGTCCCTGTGAAGCAGGCATGTCATGGTTTTGTATACACATTTTATAGGGATTTATATTGACAGGTAGGAAGGTGCACTTTTGATCTATCACACACACACAGGTAAAAAATACATGAAATTTCAGGAATGAAGACTTGGAATATGTGAAGCTGCATATATAACAAACAGAAGTGGTGAAAATTGAAAAAAGAGAGTAGATCAATCAATGATCTATTATACAGCCAAACCATTTCAATAGAAGGAAAGTGACCCCCTAAAATCATTCTTCCTTTATATAATTGAAGTTAATTTTACAGGGTATATCAGTCTATTTTGTTTTTTGTTTGGAAGCCAATGAACTCAATGTGAACAACTAGCTATTGCATGGTACTCAGGAACACTGGTGAGTTTATTAAATTTTACTTATACTTGCTACTTCATTTTTACATGTAGCAAGGAGTCTTGGGAAAAAAGGCAATCAACTTCTTCTTTCCAAAGGATTTTTCAAATAAATTTGTTCAGCATGGAGTTGAATATGAATCCAAAGCTCGTTCAAAATGTTCATTGAAAATGATATTGAATTTCAAATCATACAAACTAATTTGTGTCCCAATATTTTCCATGGTTAGGATTTTCTCAATATGAAATTATTTTTCAGGAAGGAACACCATGGAAATAATTGAAATAAGTGTCCTTACTGAGGTCCTTACATAGAGGTTTGTTAAATAATGTGTATTATTCAGCTTGAATTATTTTCTCAAAATTTTAGGTAAAGGTTCAGAACATTTTGTGGAACAATGCCATTTCTTGATAGGAGATGGTATAAAAAATGTGAAGTTGGAAGAGAGACACACTTATTATGGATAAATTCAGTTGGGAATAATGGCCCTAAAATGTCCCTAATGAACTTGAAAGAAACTAATTTTCTTGTATGATTCTTCTTCCTCTAAAACTTACATAAAGATTCCAGTTTTTTTATGATACATTTTGTGTTAATGTTATGAGGAAGATATCTCAAAGATATTTCCATTATGTTGCACTTTTATTGCATTAATAAAATGGAATGAATTGTGATGACTTCTTTATTAATTCATTTTCTTATTATTGCATTTTCAAACAATAATATGTTCCAAATTGATACTGAAATAAAACCAGTGAGTTACAATCATTCAATTTATCCAGAAGGAAATCCTCTTTAGTTAATTGTTTCTTGTTTCTCAGAAATGATGGCCTAATCAATTTCAAGATATTTCTTCCATCCCTTGTCAGTATGCCCTTATCCACCATGATTTCATCATTAGGTTCAGACTTCCCAATAACATTTTCTTTATTAAAAAATGCTTTATCAGTAGTTCAACCTCCATATCCTTATTAATGCCAACAGTAATCAGTCCTAATGGAGTGGTATTGCAATAAGAATTTGACTGAGTTTCTGTAATGTGTCTGTACAACAGGAGCACTGAGGAACATATCTTTCTAGATTTCTGTCTTCAGTCTTTTGTACTTGCTGCATGTTTTGGGAAAACAGTGAACAATCTCTTGGACACAAAAACATATTGGAAAACTTCAAAATTTATCAATATTCACTTGATTGCACAATGCTAAATTTGTTTGTTTTGTTTTTCACCTCCGCCATTTTCATTTTGCCGTTCGACAAAAGACGATGGGGAAACAGTGACGTCAGGGCAGGTCAATATGAGGCAACCTTATAGAGTTGAATAGCCTTGGGGTAGAGGTACCTCTACTACCCTTCATATAGTAAACAGTGCGTGTTATTTTGGAGCAACTGATATTTCAGTAGCAAAAAAAATAATTAATTACATAATAATTAAATATATTTAATATAGTTAATACTAATATATAAAAACAATATAATATCAATATATTGCGTTATAACCATAATAATATATCTATAATCTATAATAGACAATAAAAATATCAATTACTTACTTTGAAATTTTTTGCTCTTTCTGGAAATAGAAACAAAGTGGACCGCCAAAAATGTAAATTAAGAAATAACAAAAAAGATAGACTAGACATCTTGTATTACGATTTAAAATTTTATTAAAAAACAGTATAAATACTGCGATGTTGAGTCCTTTATTATTACACAGTATACTTACCTCGGATCTCTCTGTCACACACTTCCACGCGCGTTGAAATTAAAATCTTTAAAATTCGCAAACCCCTAATAGGACCGGAATTTTCGCAGACAACCTATGATGATATACATTTTTTTTAATTATCCAATCCAGTGAAAGTAACTGGCATCGATATACCTGTGTTTACCTGACAACCCAGTAATTCGCCCAGGTAAATAGTAGACAACCCAACGGCTGCACATTCTATACGTTTAATACTTTCAGTCAGGACAAAATTTTTTCATTATCCTGATGTTGGAACATTTAATCAAAAATCATTTTTCGAAAAATAATTAAAAATAGTCTGCCCAGGATATTTTTAGCGAACCCATTTTTAATATGTTTTCTAATATACTAAATTCATGATAAAATATATTTCGTTCTATTATCAGCTCGGTGAAGGTCGATTTAGGTTCGGATCTTAGACTATTATTACTTAGTTGTGTCATAACTGAGTCTGTCACAGAAACGTCAATTTCTGCTTATAACGACGATAAACTATATACAGACCCAACACATGTAAACAAAGAAAGGGCGCATCAGGAAACTAGAAAGCCGTGATGCACATACAACGTTGTTCCACAGAATCTCCAAACTTGACTAACCGAAATGACACCAGAAATCACTATAAAAATGTCCTATGCCCCCACTATCATGACAGCGGATTGTATAGGTCGCATACAACCTTGTTCCATGGAAATACCGTTTTTATAGATCTTGGCGGTTACAACGTTGTTCCAGGCATAGGGTTCAATTAATGAAATTGAAATCGATTTCTTTTTTATTATGATCCATAACTTTTTCCTAGAAGATATAGATAATGGTGACTATATAATCTAGGGAAATATATTATTATTATACATAAAAATTTTCATTGTCATCTCAAATTTCCATTCCAAAATCGGTATATTATTATGATCACATCAAACATCAGTATATCTCCTATAGCAGTCTTTAGAAAGTATTTGTCTGTCATTCTATTTGTGTTATATTTGACAGCTCTTTATCAAAAAATATGATTTTCAGAGTGACTGAGTGGTGTGAATCTCAACTTTAGCTTTATTGATTTTTGGTTGATCTAGAGAGATCTTCCTGTAGAAGTTACAGCAATGAAACTTCGTACCTATGTATTCGATGTGTTCCTCTATTGAATAACTACTTCACCGGTTATACCAACTCCTCAAATTTTGATACAGGGTGAATCGAAAAATAAAAAATATCAAAATTTGCCATTGAATAACTAACACTCTGTATGAAGTTTGGCGTTCAAATTTCGTATAGGGGTATTTCAGCTATGCCTGAATGAAATAGGCTAGTCACTGTTTGGAAAATAATTGCCTAATAGTCGTTTTTGCAATTTTGACCTCTTCAACAAACAAAAGTAGGCCTTGAAAATCTGAATATTTCAAATTTGTTCACATTTTCGATTAGAGCTCGTTGAGTAGCCGAATTAGAAGGGTGTTGCGGGTTGAAATCGCACACACTGTATGTACTGATACCGAAGCGACAAATATGGATTTATATTCCTTCTGATATTAAATTGAAAACGGTATTTTATAGAATTTGAAATATTAGTCAGAAGTGGATTTTGGTGTGTATTTATAGAGAGAGAGTTATCTTGTTTGAAGGTAAATATATGATTAATCTTATCACAATAACGAATTTAATATGGATATCATGATAAATGAAACATTTACACACGAACCCTGAAATAGGTAGGTTGAAAATGCAGAAATTCACATTCATCTGGACGTACATCCTAGCTTCAATTTCAATCACCAAATCTGTAAGTATAATTATTATAAGTAGGTAATTTGATTTTGGATATTTTTTCATTGAAACTGATCCGACTATAAATGAAACCATCAAAATCCAGTTTTTTAAGTAGGCAGTTGCCGGATTCGATGTATTTGATCTTATATACTGAAATATATGATTTATTGTTCAAAAAAATCATTTGATCTTATGAAAATACACGATAGAAAAATCTCAAAATTTCCTCAGAATCCCGCGGGGGCAATAATTTATTCTTTTTTTGTTCATAATTTATCTGAGAATATTCCTTTTCAACAATTTATTCTTGTCGTGTTTTTTCATAAAAATTCGCACACTCTGATAATACTCTTACAAGTTATGAATCAGCTTACTCTTCACAAACAATCATTCATACATCATAAAAAAATGATATTATACAGGTGAGTAAGGACTAACCATAGCCATATAGCCTAACGGCGAATAGAGAAATTCAAGCTGAGTTGATATATAATCTTTTTTCATCTCACAGGGAGTAGAAAGTTTAGTATCTGTGGGAAATTTTGTTGATTTATCTCAAACCGTTTCGAACTTTTCATCAAAGAACAATATTCAGACTCGTATTTTCAACACCCTATATCGTGAAAACGACGCGTTCAAAAGTATATATTTACATAAACTTTTTTCATTATTTCATCAACGTGTACAACACAATGTTGACTTTATGTATTGAAAACCGGACCACCCTGTATAGTAACGAAGATACAGGGGGTTAATTTGGTTTCGGGTCACTTGTTTCATAATTACAATAACCATCATTCTACTTTTCTGACTTTCTATATTTATCTATCGAAATGAATGGGAACACAATTTTTTCACTCTGGTTACTTGTGAATTGGTTTTTAGGATTATACTGCTGCTGTTCTTGAATATCAACCTATAATTTCAACATCGCCAAATGCAACTGTAGAAGTAAACCTTGAAGAGTATGCCAGATACATTAACGATGCTAAGCAGGTGTGTAATCTATGATCTTATTATTGCCACTACTAACTATGATTAACATCAATATATTTCCAGAATAAAACTGTAAATATCATCGTTTTCCCTGAATATGGTTTGACAGGATTTTTTTCTGACCCAGCACCATATGGAATAGTAATTCCAAATCGCAATGAAGGACCAAACTTCCAGAATTATGTGAGTATTTCTGTCATTGCAACTATTCATATTGCTATTTAGCTTGTCCTCATATGAACTGCACTAAATGATTCATTGTTACACCGGCCTACTGCTCTACCCAAGAACTCTTATAATGGGCGTAGAACTTTTAACTCAAACCATGTTTATAATGATTCTTTTATACATAAATAATGATTGACGACATAATTCGATCGAAAAATTAACTGGAATGTTTAGAGTACCTTCTGAAAACGGACCCTCTTATGACGTAGAAACCTCATCTCGCCATAGTTGAAAGAAAACACCAAACGCCCGACGGAGACTGAGGCAACTGATATAGTTCTTTCAACTGTGATCTCGCGCTAATTCACTCTGTCAGAAATCATGTATCATTCATCTCTGTCTGGAATATATAGTGTTGTTTCAGTATTAGGGTCTTGACGTCACATCATCGCCTCGTTTTCAGAGGTCCGAAAAATCGGGGATTTCAATAATATTTTATAAAACGGGAGCTCACAGCAAGAAACGGTTTGCGGTAGTGAGCTAGTTTGGGTGGGTTCTATCGAATTATGAAATGAAATTTTTTTGTGATATAAGCCCAATGTTACAGTTTTTCAAACACCTTGATTTTCTATGTTAATCAGAACAATTAAGAATTACAAAAATATAGCTTCGTCATGCACATTGATAACATGAAAAATGTTAGCCATTATCAGACCTGGACAAATATTGTCTGAAATACAACGTGTCCCACTTTAAACGGCCCCCCGCTGTATATGTCTTTTTTAGGTAGGATACAATTATTGCAGTGTGTTCACCCTTTAATGTCATTCTAGCTACATTTCCGTTTTAAGTATAAATTTAATGTATGTAAATAGGGGAAAATCGGAAAATTATATTATTTTTTTGCACTTAAAAATCGGTTTATTCTTGTTACAACTGTTGTTCCTTTTTGTATCCATAAAAAAATTCCCAACTACAAAACGGAAGAACAGCATTTTATTCTAAGTTTATTATGACTTTCCAGTGGTTGGAAAAACTGTCCAATGCTGCTAAGGCGAACGAAATATATGTGGTGGTAAACTTGGTGGAGAAAGCTGCAAATAACAAAAATGAAACCATTTACTATAACACCAATGTTATGTTCGATAGAAGTGGTAAAATTGGAGCAAAGTAAGTCTTTATATTTACCTAAAATCAAAAACACCCATATATAATAACTGTCACTACATTACATTCAAACTCACATTAATCAACTTGAAGACTGCAAAATCTGTCAATGATATACATATTTTCCTAATTTTGAGAATTGAGATGTAATATGATGGCACTTTTCAAAACTGAAGGAAGTATTGAAGTCTTCCTTAAAGTAACCAGTTGCGTAATGTAAAATATTAAATAAATAAACTGGTGTAGAGAGTGTAGAGATTACCTGTAAAATAATGGAAAATATTTCTAAGCTCACTATATACCCAACGAGCACAAAAACATCTCAGAGAGTTGAAAGTACGAGATTTTGAGACATTGAACCTCCACTGCGATGTTCTGTTCACACATGAATAGAACTATTATAGAACAGCCATGTCCGCAGCAGGCGGCAATTATCGAGATGTCCTTGATATGTCACAAAACTACCTTCTCCCTTCTCCCTAGTTCTTTTTAAAGCCTTTTCATGGACACAACAGAACATTTTCAACGAGTCTTGCGCACACTAAATCGCTGTAAAAAAACCATTTTCGAGGTACTTTTCTGAATTCCAAATTTTTTGGGATTTTCTCTCCTCGTTTCTATAAAATAAAAATATGAATATTATTTCAATATACGTGTAGTAAGGACAAATCAGATGATTTGCCCCAAAATGTCACTGCGTTTAAAGAATTTTCCTATCAGAGAGCCTAAAAGAAAAATTCACTAGCTTGTCAGTGACAATTTGTATTGAAAAAATTTTTGGAGAAGGGAAATAAAGGTATATAGAAAAAATATCAAATTTTCACTTATCTTTGGACGTTTCGGGACCGGTTCTGCTCCCGTTTTCAACATAAGAAGAGATTATTTCAATAGCGAAGTCGTATAATGTCTTGAAGCTTTTCAGTTTTCAATGACAATTGGTGACGTTGGCAATCAAACGAGTTACAGGATGTTTTCATTAATTGATCTTGAATTTACCATTTTCATGTTCAGATTTTAGTAGTGAATACCATGTTCTGTCTATATCAACTGAACAAGAAGCAATGTTATTGTCTCCGTTCAGAAGAATGCAAGCAGATTCCTTGATTTTTCTCTTCTGGTTGTTATCTTCATTTCCAATAATTTTAATATTATTCCACTCTGCCATATGTTGTCCGTCTTCAGTAAGGATATGTTCAGCTAGTTTTGATTTATCGATGTTTCTTTTCTTTATATTGTACTTATGTTCCTTCAACATATGGCAGAGTGGAATAATATTAAAATTATTGGAAAAGAAGATAACAACCAAGAGAGAAAAATCAAGGAATCTGCTTGCATTCTTCTGAACGGAGACAATAACATTGCTTCTTGTTCAGTTGATATAGACAGAACATGGTATTCACTACTAAAATCTGAACATGAAAATGGTAAATTCAAGATCAATTAATGAAAACATCCTGTAACTCATTTGATTGCCAACGTCACCAATTGTCATTGAAAACTGAAAAGCTTCAAGACATTATACGACTTCGCTATTGAAATAATCTCTTCTTATGTTGAAAACGGGAGCAGAACCGGTCCCGAAACGTCCAAAGATAAGTGAAAATTTGATATTTTTTCTATATACCTTTATTTCCCTTCTCCAAAAATTTTTTCAATACAAATTGTCACTGACAAGCTAGTGAATTTTTCTTTTAGGCTCTCTGATAGGAAAATTCTTTAAACGCAGTGACATTTTGGGGCAAATCATCTGATTTGTCCTTACTACACGTATATTGAAATAATATTCATATTTTTATTTTATAGAAACGAGGAGAGAAAATCCCAAAAAATTTGGAATAATGAATATACCACCTCCTCGATTAACAGACAGTATTTTACTTTTCTGAAGCCTTTTGTCAAAATAAACTTTTGCATTAGGATTCCATTTCCCTTGAATGAAAAAATGCATTAAAAATAGATTGAACATTAAAATATTTTCTTGATATGAAATTACCTTCTTAATCGGTTTCTGAGTAGTGCTTACTACACACAGACATATAATTGGAAATAGGTTTCCCAATTTCTGAAATGTTCTCCACAATGCATAATTTTGCAACTGCGGAGAAGCTGTGTATTGATGAATTCGTACTTTTATACATTGATTACACTGAGGCACCGAACAACACATCTTGCATCAGATGGTCATTATTACGAACTAAATAAGTCTTCTAACACAATAAACTTCAAGAAATTCCTTTCTGTTCGTTAGCAGCGTGACACGCTGCAAACGCGAATGCCAATTGCGAACAAGAAGAACAAAATCGAAAACAAATCAGAATTCATCGTATTGTGACAAACAAAGAAAGGGCACAAAAGAACAAAAACAATACTTTCAATATCCTTCCAAGACCTCTTTGGGAAGTGCATATTACGCCTCAAAAAAACATCCTCATGCCTACATTTCTAAAACATCCCAAAACAGGGATACCTCTCAGTAGGCAAACAAAGAAATGCCACAGAAGAACAAAAACAATACTTCAATATCCTTCAAAGATTTCTTTGGTCGGTGCATATTACGTCTCAAAATAACATCTTCATGCCAACATTTTCAAAACCTCCCAAAACATCCCAGGGATGTTTGTGCTCACTGGGTAATTACACAAATTAACTTTGGGTCTACCAAATATGTGAATTTCAGGTTTGCCTTCTCTGTTTTTGAATGTTAACGCATTCACATGAAAGTTTCTGATTTGTACGTATTTTTTTATTACTTCCTTAAGCTACATTGTGTGTGATATTTTTCAGGTACCGCAAAATAAATTTGTTCAATGAACCTCTGTTGACGCCTGGTAACTCTGATGAAAATCAAGCCGTTTTTTCAACTGATTTCGGAGTTACATTTGGAATGGTTATCGGTTATGATTTGTTATTCTACAATCCTTCAAGGAGCATTTTGGCCAACTCCTCAGTGGCCGATGTCATATTATCTTCCGCTTGGTATTCCGCGTTACCGTTTTATCATTGTAAGTAAATAAACAAATCTCAAGGATGAACCTGTAGATAAAAAAACGAGAGAATTTATGGAAGTAATTGGATGCTTGACTTGTTTTTGAGAATCAGGGTGTCAAGGTTTCAATGAAATATATATATATATATATATATATATATATACATCCTGCTATCATTATTGCGTCCAATCATTGCCCTTTTACATTTATTACTGCGTCCTTCTTTTTATTGCGTCCATATATGGACGCGATAATGTCATCAACGTTAAACTTTGAATAGAACTGCTTGAAAGAATGTAAAAAAATGTGTTTTGAAAGCCCATGCCTCCACCTATCGATAGATCTGAGATTGACTGGTCTATCTGTCCAAATACTCGAGATATGCGGAAAAGTCTTGTAGCACATCGGACGCAATATTATGCGTAAATGAACAGAAAATATACATTGTAGTTCAAAAGACTTCCGCCAGAGCGGAATATACGAAAAATATACGAAATTCCAGTATTTCTATCTAGAGTATCTTATTGCGTCCTTATGTTTGGCAACATTGCATGACTCATTTCATTCCATTTATAGTAAGAAATGGAAGTTCCAAGAGCATCTTGCGTCCCTACAAAGGATAGGGGGAGGAGGGAGGTGTTTGAATTTTTTTGTCCATCGGAGGTTATGAGTTCTTGGGAATACTTGCACTGTCATAGAATTCCAAAGCTTTGTCGTTCTATAGACGAATGAGTTTTGTGTGAGTGTTGTTCGACTTATTTCAAGGTTCACAACGTGAGGATATGCTGACTGGGCCTGTCGAGTTTGTCTGAGTGGTATTTCTAGTGATGGAATGATAGCAGCGATTTCTGAGGAACATTTGCCGTGGAAGTATACATAAAAAAACGAAAGGTCGCCTATTTCCCTACGGTGTACTAGAGGAGTCAACAGACAAGTGAGTGTGGCATCACCGACCGGGTGGATGGCTCTTCTCTGGATAGAATCTAAGAGGTTCAGCGTATACTTGGGTGCTGAACCCCATAATGTGAGAACGGTCATCTAAAACTGCCTGTGTATGTGCTTTGTAGATCGTGAAAAGCTGTTGAGGTGTACAATAGATCTCCGCACGGAATTGTTGATGGCAATACCGAGCAACGATATAGTGGTCCCGGTGGAAATGGTAGTACCAGACATTATTATATTAGGCATACTGAGTTTTGCTTTTCTAGAGGAAATACAAGCTTGACTTTTTATGGCGATGAATTCATCTGGGTTTTTGGTTCCCCAGGCCATTGTCGATCTAAATGAAAACTTAGTAGGCGACCTAGTGCGAGGAGGTATGCTCCTGCCTACTAACTACCTTACTAGGTTGTCATCTAGAACGACAATGCCCAGGCTGTTCTTCAGCAAGATCTTCATTGGCAGGGTTGACTTGCCTTCATCGTAAGTTCTGAGTTTCCTAGAAAGAAATGGGAATTCTAGAAGAGAATGCATATTATGAAAAGTTTTATCGTCTGCAAAGCTTTGATAGGGCAAGTGGATCCTAATGGAAAGCCGGAATTGATCGTCATTGACAGCGTTGACTTGCCTTCGTCGTAAGTTCCCATCAGTTTCCTGAAGAAAAATTAGAATTATAGAAGAGAATTCAGATTATGAAGAGTTTTATCGTCTGCAAAGCTTGGATAGGGCAAGTTGATCCTTGTGGAAAGCCGGAATTGATGACAATGTTATCAGACGATACTTTATCCACCACCACATGGAGCGATCTGCCTGAAAGGAAACTCGATGAAAGATGGCATAGCTGAAGTGGTTTGATGTATGAGAATAGTTTGTGAAGGAGTCCTTGGAAGATGGGTTTCAATTCCAGAACTTAATTATTTTTTTCCTGTTTTGCTCATTTTCCCGACTTATCTCTTCTCTCCTCTCAACATTCGTCAATTATTTGTCTACACTATCTGAGTTATATGTTATAATAGGCCATATGAAGGGCCTGACATTGGCCCGCTCAAGTTTAACCTAAACCTAACCCAACCTATATGCCTTTGCTCATAATGCCATAATCTCATGTTCCATCTATGCTTTGACTTTGACTCATGTCATTGACTTTTCTGTTTTTCTTATCCTTCATTTGGATTTGAAATACGTGTTGGCTGATTGCCTCATCAATAATTCGATATTTGCCTCAATAATTTGTGCTTTCAGTATGAAACAGGGACAATTTTCAAAAACGGTTGTTCTTTCGAAAATTGCTGTGACAATTTCTCATCATACCATTTCCGTGTATGATATTGAATCGAATATATAATTGTACGCGCTCTCATGGTACGAGGCCCTCCATCAATGAGAACCCAGGTAGCCTCGTGGTGGAAGCGTCACTACTCTAATTCGCGTTTGCTTGCTGGTGTACGTGAGTTCAATTCTCCGCTGCAAAAATGTGTCTGATGACCTAAGAAAGTGTTTGGTCATCCCTTGCTCGCACAAGTCTCTCGATGAATTCTAGGGATTGCTCGTAAGGGGCCAACTTAAGGACGGATAGAAAAATTCAGGACAATTATTCAGAACCCGTTATTATATCCTAATACATGGGCTCGTGACTATGGGCATCGGCAGGTATATCTAATTCAACTTGATAAATTTATTAAACTATTTCAACTCCAAGTAAGTCTACAAAGATTTTTTCACAAACAATCTCAATTCCTTAATACCCAAATTTTTTGTATCGTACTTCAAATGGAGCTGAAGATGATCTCTAATACCAAATCGTGTCCCTGATCATCAAAAAACCGAGTTAACAACGTGATCAAATGGTGTGGAGATGATTTTGAGCTTTCCTTCCTTCCTTTGATATATAATTCTGATTTCAATCAGTCAATCATCAAAAAACTGATTTGTTGTAATGATCTTGGGGAAAGGAGGTAATTGCAACCATGTAGGGCCGCATTTCATCGGCACTCTTCCTAATGATGAAACCGCAAAATTTATTATCATCATCGAGTATTCTAGCAATTTACTACCTGTCGTCGAAGTCCCAATGGCATAATATGCTATATCAGGACAAATATGTTATTGAAATAGTCGAAAAATCTGCATCCAAAATTTATATAGGACGACAGCCATTTATTGAAGAGAAGATGTCACCATAAGGAGATATATGGACATGGCCAATGTGCTTGTTGGTTCATTATCATCTTTAGAGATACCATAATTGGACAGCTTTCTTCATCAACAAAGATATCACAGTGCTAATATATGAGTACGAAATAACTGCGAAACCGTTTCACTGTAATCTTTGGCGATGAAGTTCCTAGAATGAATGCCGCAGTGATCATTTTCATATCTTTTGTGGGCCATTTATCTACTAAAAACTCATTAGTTTGATATGACCGAATAAATAATATGGAACATCAGGTGGAATAATTTTCTTTTAATTATAATTTTTACTCAACTTGTAATAGCTGGCGGCAAATTCCGACCGTCATCTGATAACGAAATGACAAATCTCCTAGAGGCATGTGAGAACATTTTATTTCATCAAATGCTCATTTCATACCCAAGAAAGATTCGGATGTCCATGGACAAGAAATAAACATCCATCGGAAGAACCAAAATGCCTATCCAATGGAATACCACTGACACTATTACAATGGATACCAAGAAAAAAGTTCTGGATATCCATCGGCATGAATTGTACATCCATCAGATAAACCTGAATGCTCATCCAATGTATAATTAGTGACACCTTTTCTATCGATATCCATAATGTATCTAGTGGACTGAAAGAATGCATATGACATCGCCTAGACCAAATGACTGTTGTTTCCGGAATGTCATTGGTTGTCAAGTCATGGACAGCTGACAATCTGAAGGGTATCTTCCATACAGTAATGAATTTGCGCCTTCTAAGTGCCCACCTGATGTCAGGTGTATATATTTGATAATTTCATTTCATCATCTGAATAATCATAATAATAATAATAATAATAATATGCTTTATTGTCTGAAGAAGAATCTTGTTGACAAAGCTAGGTCAGATAATATTGTAAAAACAGGTTAAAATATAACGACATAAAAATAAATGACAAAATATAGTCAAAATAAATACCACATTAAAATACTAAAATATCACAACTCAAACGTATCACTATAATATTCCTGCAAACTGTAATAGGGTCTATCAGAGAGGAACTTTTTGACTTTCTTTCTGAATTGACAGTCATTCAGACTTGCTAATCTAATATCAACTGGCAAGTGGTTGTACATTTTTCCACCATTATAGTATATGGAATCTTTAATGAACTCTCTTGTGGGTAGAGGAAGTTTCAAACTGAAATTTCTGTTACGCGTGTTATGATGGATGGGAGTTGTAGTGAATTTCAACTTGTGTTCATTTATCAGGCAAACAGATTTCAGAATGAATAGCGCAATCACTGTCAATATTTTATTTTTGGAAAATAAAATTCTGCAAGAATCTCGGGGTTTGACATTACACAAATACCTCATCGCTCGTTTCTGTAGAATTAACAGAGTTTTTAAAGACGTTGGACTGCACACTCCCCAGAAAGGTATTCCATATCGTAATTGGGAATCTATTAGTGAATAATATACCATCTTGGCAGTATGGAATCCTAATTCCCTAGAAATCACTCTCACTGCATAACATCCAGAAGAGATCTTACCAGTGAGTATCTTGACGTGGTTACCAAATTTCAGATTTTTGTCGATCAACAATCCCAGAAACTTACTATCATTTCTACTTTCGATAAAATTATCACCAAATGTGATTTCATCAAGGGAGGATCTGAATGATATTATACTAGTTTTAGATATATTGAACAACAGAATATTGGCGTCACACCAATCTTTCACCTTTTTCAAATCAGATGATATCATTTGATGCAGATCTCGAGGATTCCTACTATTCCATAATATAGTAGTATCATCTGCGAATAGAGTGAACTTTCCAGTTATATCAATTTTCGTGAGGTCGTTGACATACAATAAGAAAAGTACAGGTCCTAACACAGATCCCTGTGGAACACCATGATCAATATTTCTCTTCTTGGAGAGTTCTGTCGTTTTGACCACTTGATTTCTTCCTGATAAATATGATTCGAACCATCTGTATGTCATTCCTCTGCATCCATACTGATGAAGCTTTCTCAGCAGTATTCCATGATCAACACAGTCGAATGCTTTTGATATGTCACAGAACACCGCCTGAGACCTATTTGTCCCAAAAGACGGATTCTCATAGTTAATATCCAAGATAGTGACGTATAGAGTTTCATGTCTGATTGTTAGATGTTTCGTGTTCAACGAGCAAAGAACTCTTGAGACCAAATTATGAGAAAATATATTCAAACACATAGGGGGAGAGTTCGATTCATATTGTTCAAAATGTATACATGAAGAGGTCATTTCATTCACATTGTTGTACAATTGGTGAACTGTAGTTGTCCAATTCATATCTAGTAGTTTCAGAATTTTCGTCTCATAGGTATACAATTCATCACATTAGTTTCACAGTAGATGTACAGGATGGACATCCAATGGACATCCAAACTTGCGGCCTATGGATTTACAATGAATGTCAATTAGATAGAATCTGGACATTTTGAAACATCCAATATATATCCATGTCCATGTATGTCTATCCATCGGATAGTTTCACTAAACTGAGCAAAATGATTGGGAAATTCCACCTGCAACCCTACCTGTGTTACCCCTTAAGTTGGCTCAAAATCTCAGCACAACGATTTCTTTTATTTCCATGACGTGTTAAGGAGTTGAAACTTAATGCAAACACACGGGGATGATGCCCCTTCGCGAACATTCTAACTTGGCGCGATTCAACCAGATATAAGTTTATGGTGAAGCGCCAATATTTCCGAGAACATTTTGCCCCTGTCTGAAGATGAACAAGTTTATCGAACCGATGGTTCATCAGATATCTTCAAATATGAGCTAAATATTATCTGCCCCTATTCGCGAAGAGGGGATCATTTTCTTAAAACTCATTATCACGTGACGAAAGTCATTGCGAAATGACAGCAGCACAGAAATCTGCGCCAATAATTTGACCCAGATTGAGGGAATAGCATAATTTCGATTTCGCACAGGAAAGTGCCATTTTCTATTCATTCATCCTAGGATATAGGCTGTCAGAGGTGCCGTTCGATACAATAAATGCGTTTGTGACATGTCATATCGTTATCCGATGACGGTAGAAATTTGCAGATTGTTCTACTTCTATTGTCAAAATGTCGCGCAACTTGACAAATACATATCAATACCGAACCATATTACATTAGTATTGAAGACTTGCTTCATCATGAGAAGTCAGACGCAATAATGTACTATTAATGTAATAAAAATATACCCTCAGTCTGGCAACATCGCTGGACGCACTAATGTATATACAGGACGCAATAAAGATCGTTGAATGAACCCCAAATATATGGCTGGATGCAATAACATTCGTGAAATTGAAGGACGCAATGAGGTATGCTGAATGAAAATAAATCGTATATCTTTAAAATAAAGATAGAGCAATTCTGAATAGAGGTAAATGCTGGAAATTATGTGAGGAGAGATATACTTCGACTAGTTTCTATCCAACTTTATTCTTTCTGGTGGACGCAATAAGTATGGATTATGAAAAGACGCAACAAAGATAGTAGGATGTATATATATACCGGGTGTCCCATTTTAATCTTTATTTGGAAATTTCTCGAAATGTATGCATCTGACAAAAAAAATTGCCGAATAAAAGTTGTATGGTTTGGAGGGGGACGTCTGGTTATAAAACAAGTTTCACCCCCTGACCCCCAGGGGAGTGAGAAATGGAGGTAACATTGAAATCTTTAATGGAAACCCCTGATTTTTATTGCAGATTCTGGAAGAGCTTTGAAAACTATGAAGCTTTTATCCGAGAACTACTTTTTTATTTCAACAAGATGGCGCTGCAATCTTAAAAAAACAATATTTTACTATTTAGTTTGTAGTTGGGAGACTTTTTATCATTAAAAAGATATCAAGCAGTTCGAATATAGCACATTTCAACACCCTGAAGACGAGGAAGAGTGTAGGGTGTGAAATTCCCAGACAAACGCCGTTGGAGTGTTATTTTCATTGCAAATACACACCGTAAGTGATAATTTTCATTGTATGGTAACACCATGTAAAAACACTTTAAATCTGTCACTGTCTCGCGATGTCGGATTATTTACCGAACGAGATTGTAAATATGATTATTTGTGTCGAACGTGCGGAGGGTAATTTCCAAGAGGCTGAGCGCGAATATCGACGTCGATTTCCGGATCGGAGATGTCCGTCCCAAGTTACCATCAAGTCTCTTGTACAACGTGCCCGCGAAGGTCAGCTCACCCGGAAAAGAAAAGTCGGTTTTTGACGACGTCGTCGATCCGGATGCGAGGCTGCTCACGGTAGTTTTTACGATCGCAGCGCCATCTTGTGAAAATAAAAAAGAAGTTCCCGAATAAAAGCTTCATAGTTTTCAATGCTCTTTCAGAATCTGCAATAAAAAATAGGGGTTTCCATTAAAGATTTCAATGTTACCTCCATTTCTCACTCCCCTGGGGGTCAGGGGGTGAAACTTGTTTTATAACCAGACGTCCCCCTCCAAATCATACAACTTTTATTCGGCAATTTTTTTTGTCAGATGCATACATTTCGAGAAATTTCCAAATAAAGATTAAAATGGGACACCCGGTATATATATATATATATATCTCTTTATTTAGTTGAAAAACTAATTCATTCACAATAGTAAATACATTCACATATAAATAAACTTAGATTAACATGAAAAAATACAATCAGTCTGAATAAAAAATACATACGTGTAAATAAAAACTACTAAAAAAATAATAATTATATACTAATTTTTCATTAAATAATCCTTCAATCGTCTTTTAAATGTATTTATCGAACCACTCTCTTTAATTTCTTGTGGGAGGTCATTATAACAATCTACTCCTTTATAAAATAAGGAATTATGTGTACTATTTTTTTTATATTTTTCAACTTTTATATTGTTTCTGTTTCTTGTATTATACTCATGTATTTCAGCCACATATGATAATTTATTCTGTAGATATACAGGTGAATATGCAATTTTGATTTTAAAAATGAAAATTAGTGTTTGATACTCGAAGAGTTTTCTCACTGGTAGCCATTGTAGGGTTTGCAACATATTTGCTATCGGTGTTATCCTTGAACATTGTAAGATTATTCGCATAGCACGATTATGCATCTTTTGTAGTCTGTTTATTTCATTCTGGTTGAGAAAAAACAGAATGGTGGAACAGTAATTTAAATGTGGAAGGATTATGGAGTTGTATACTAATAGTTTAGACCACTGGCTTAGATATGGGGAACATCTTCTTAAATAATTGACTTTGTAAGCTACTGTTTTGATGACCTGATTAGCATGTTCCTTGAATTTCAATTCATTGTCAATGGTAACACCCAAGTACACGAATTTGTTCACCTTTTCTATATCACTGTCATTCAATCTTAGAAGTAGATTTTCATTATTATGATCTTTATGTTTTCCTAATAACATCCATTTTGTTTTATTCACGTTCACCTTCAGCAGATTTGCACAGCAATATCTATTCACCCTTTCAAGACCAGCGTTCATAGTATCAACACACTCATGCACATCATCACTACTAAAGTACAGTAGGGTGTCGTCGGCAAATAAGTGAATTTTACATATGACATGGAACAAACCCTGTTTGTTATAGCTGTATCACTTTTCAGCACTGTCATATCATTTGGCGTATGCTCAAGCAAACAGAGTCAATTTGCTAGCATCCAATTTGAATTCTTTGGATAAGGGAGTCAGCGGTTCTGGTATTTACGGAGCGAAAGGCAATATTTTCTCATACTCTTTACCAGGGACGTCCACTTCCAAAATGTTGCTTTCCGGTGGTTTGAATACTCCAAGAGAAGATTTCGTAAGTAGATTTTGTTCTTCGAAGAGATCATTGAATTGATAAAGCACCAAAAGAATATTCCTTCACGTGGCATTGGAGGTTCGCCATTTTGATTCGAAAAATTATCAAACATTTGTTGTTTGGAATGTTTGATTATGTAGACTTTCCCTTTTGTCAGTCATTTTATCATATACAGGGTTATGATGAATAAGTAATGCACAAAATTCATAAAACGTACAACGATCACTTTTGAAAAAAATGCAAAAACACGTCAAACTGTTTTTTTTATTCCGCATCTTTTGACATAAGTTACAAAAATAACACGTCAAAGTTGTCAAAGTTATGACGTCATCAACAAATTTTTTTAATGGGAAGCTAAGATTTTTATTACATTATGTGATAGAGCTTGTGTTTTTACACAAGGGAAAAATAGTTGCAGTAGGGCTCACATAATGTAATAAAAATCTTATCTTCTCATTAAAAAAATTTGTTGATGACGTCATAACTTTGACAACTTTGACGTGTTATTTTTGTAACTTATGTCAAAAGATGCGGAATAAAAAAAACAACAGTTTGACGTGTTTTTGCATTTTTTTCAAAAGTGATCGTTGTATGTTTTATGAATTTTGTGCATTACTTTATCAAAACCCTGTATATAATACCACAAGTGATAATATTTTGCCGGAAATATTCGGTGATTGTTACGACAGCTTGTTGCCTAGTAATTTCGTTAATGACATTGTTATCAAAACTACGAGCCGTAGGTGTTCATCCACTGTCTTCTTGGACCCGACAGTCGGAGCAAGTCGGAGACAGCCGTGCTTGGTTCGGACTATCACATGCCGATGTTGCCAGAGTAACCACCCGTCTTCATTGGTCACACTCGAGCATGCGATTCATTATAGCCAATAAAACGGAATCATGAACCTGGCAACGTCAGCATACGAAGTTTCAAAATATGTGGTTAACGTTTCACACTCGATAGATTTCTGAAATGTTTTCTAGAAGCTTATGTAGAGATATTATCGTTGACCCGTATTAGAGTACAATGGAAAAGTTTCGAACATGATGAATTTTTAACAACTAGTATACACCTGTATTGAAACATTTCGAAGATGTTTCACATTACGCATAACAACAGAGAAATCTTGCACATACCTACGTTATTATGGCGATGTTTCAGATGACACGTCTAGAGATTCACGTGAGACATTTCAAGCAGAGAATTTTCATAACGAATTCGTAACGTATGTATTGATATATTTCTGAAATATTTCACATATCATGAAAGGCCTCAGAAATGTTTTCTTTATGTTAACATTGGAATGTTTCAGATGACACGTATTAGGGAACTTTTTCTGTTTTCTGACAAGCGTTGTGTTTACTGGGTTCCTATCAAGCAGAGAAGCCTTTGTGGAATCATTGTATTTATTTGGCTTGACAAGAGAAAAAAAAATAGCAATGGATTAATCGCGGAATGAGACGTCACATTCTTTCCCGCGTTTTTCATGTTATATTAAAACTTAATTTTCAATAATTATTCGAATGATGTACTGAGCCCTGAGGAGAAGAATGTTTGCTAAAGTGAACAAGTTTGCATTAAAACATCAAAATAATGTAATTAATAATAATATAATAATGAAATTATATTTTTTCTCTGGAACAGGTCCATTATTGTAAATTATTGTAAGTTTCTATGAATGTTCATGCTTGAAATTAGAACCACCGTTTGAAATACAAAGTCAACTGCATAACACATCCAACTGCACTCAATTTCAGATCACATTTTCTTGATTGGTTTCATAATCAAGGGTTTCATTCAAGTCTCATATAAGATGACTTTCGAATTTTGAAATTGTCATTGCAATGCAATGCTTCGTTACAACTTCCGGATTCGGATATCTTCAAAAATGGTCCAATTTCTTCAAGTTATTCACGGCTGATTCCCATTGCCCTATTTTTTTAAGGTACCGTTTGACCTATCTTTGTCAAAATTCAATACATCAAGGGTGTTTGAGGGCAACCGCTACAAATTCCAGACACTCAACTTGACTTCTGACAGTGTGGTCCAACAAAAAGTTTGCTATGGTTTGTTTTGCTGTCAAGTCAATCTGACTATGGGGACAGAAGTGAATTCCTCCGAGGTTTACCAGTAAGTATACATATTATCATAATTTTTCAAGATCTTATAATTAACTTTGGACTCTTTGGGAATTCGGACGAATACTTACTGAATGGATCTATATATGTCGCCTTGATGCACTTCGAGGCCCTATAGCCCCCTCACTTGAGGATATATCTATAATAATATGGAACTGAAAAAATATATTATCGAGATAATGTATATAGCAAAACAACGTTTGCAAGTTCTGCTAGTATCATTGTTCTAAAAAGTGTTCTAAAATTGTTCCATCCGTCATTCGGTTGCCCCCTTACGAGCAACCCTCAGAAGTCTTCGAAAGTCTTGTGCGAGCAAGGAATGACGGGGGCCTTACCTTTTAACGTGTGATCCCAAACACTTTCTTGGGCCATCAGAAAAATTTCTGCAGTCGATGGGAATCGAACCCACGACCGGCAATCGAATGCGAATCAGAATAAAGACACTCTGTCCGCACGGCTACCTGGCCATATATTATATCCCAACATCTATGAGTCTGATCTATTCATATACTTATTGATAGATTTATTCTAATGTCAATTATTCACTAATCATTCTACTAGCCTATTATGAATTGCCAGATCTATATATACTATCACTATCAATATTATTTGATTCAGTTCTAGTTGTAACAAGTCACGCATATACACCTTTACTCATATGAGCTGCTCATGACTCATATGCGCTGCTCATGAGTGTCATTAGTCAATCAGTCAATTGACTTCGTGACTGTCATTATGATTGCGATTTTGCCGCTTCAATTAATAACACTTTTTTCATTGTAAAAAGCAATGAATAAAGTGTTGAAATGGAATATTCTACATTGAGAATTCGCATTCTCTATGTGATGAGAATATCAACTCTTTTTCAGTTTATTCAACAGAAAACAACTACTTATTTCCTGGCTATATGCCACGACGAACATTGAACACACATGATAAGATTTTGAAAATAAAACATAAAATCTTCTGAAATTGAGAATTTACATTCTCCTTCAGACAAAAATATATATATATGCACACATCATTCTGAATATTCAAAAGAAAACAACTACTTTCCTGGCGATTTGCCACGTCGAACATTGAATTATATCTGATGAACATCCAAAAGAAGAACATGAAAAATAAGAAATAAAATTCTCCGAAATTGAGGATTGACATTCTTTTTCACCACGAGTACCTTTTTGGTGTGAAATTGAATGATGTCAAGTTCACATAAAATTCGGATTGAAAAATCTAACCTCAAAAAAGTTATGTTTAAAACTACTAGGTACGAACCGTGTACTAGCGCCATCAATGAGAGTCAGATAGAAAAACAAATTCATGCCATGTGTCAGATTCCAAAATCATCCATACAAAATTTCATCACAATGTTGCCAGTAGATTCGACATAATTGTAAAAAATGTGTAAAAAAATCTTTTTTTAACACCTTGTATCTTGAGAACGGATGCCGTTACGACATTTTTTTACGGAGCAAATCCAACTCAGTTTGCAGTCTCCTATACTCACCCTAGTAAAGGGGTCAGGTTTTTTTGAAACACCCTGTATACTAGGTATAAGTTCACCCAACCGTGAAAAATACTAACCGTCAAGTTTATGTTTGTCATGGTTGAGTTTTTATATTACTAAACTATATAGAGGGCTATATGGAATAGGTCCATTATCCTTATTCATTACTCTATCACCATTCCTAAATATCTCTAAGCTTTCATATGCGTCTAATTTGAGGTTAGTAATATGTTGTGTTATGATTGTGATTGAACATATTATGTTCGGCCACACACGATTTATTTAACCTGGCATATTTCAAATGTACTATGTGTTCTTTGAACCTTGTTTTTATGGTCGCCTGGGTTGGCCTATATATGTTTTATCACAATCATTACAACTTATTTCGTATATTCCCGACTTTTCAAGTGTGTCCACTTTATCTTTCGGATTGCCTAATAAATTGCCTAATTGGGTCTCCTACTTACAATATTTCAAAGTAGTTGGTTGAAGTTTTCAAAACTTTGAATAATCCATACAACAATCATTCTGTGTCAAATTCGCTTGAATTTATCGAAAAGGTCAAAGGGTTGAATGTGACCGAAGGTGAAATCCTTATATCATTTGATGTTTCACCACTTTTTCCAAGTGTACCCATACCAACAACTTTGGAATATTTGAAGGAATTACTCGAATATAACAACCTAGATCTAGATAATATTAGAGAATTGGTTGATCTCACTAACTTCTGAAGGAATTACTCGAATATAACATATAATATTAAAGAATTGGTTGATCTCACTAACCTCTGCATGAGCCAACATATTTTTCAATATAAACAAGAGTATTTTGAACAACATGAAGGTACAGCTATATGGAAAATTGTTTATCACCTTTTCTGGCTGAACTGTTCATGAATCAATTTGAAGCGAACGCAAACGAAAAATTCGAGTATTTCCCTAGGGTTTGGATTGGATATGTCGATGATATTTTTGCTATTTTTGCTATTTTTGATACAAAAACCACAGATAAAGATATACATTCATTTTAAAATTAAATAACTGCTTCCCCTCCATCAAATTCACTTATTATTGCGAAAAAGATGATGGCAAATTACCTTTCTTAGATATGCACTTGTGATCAAAATAGCGAAAACAACTTGACGGTTTGTATTTTTCACGGTTGGGTGAACTTATACCTATTATACAGTGTGACCCACTTCTAATGGAACCACCCCTGTATATTACGTAATCGTTGGGTAAGGATCCTGAAATTCGCTGGAGCGAGCGATATACCAAAAATGCACTCAATGTGCTATACACTGCTCGCCAACAGCCATGAAACTACCCCCATTTTCGGAAAATGATATTAGGAGTCGAAATAGGTCGAAAATCACTTCAGATTTGAAATCAGGACGCCCGATTTTCTAACTATTCAAATTTTTCCTGGAAAATTTTCAGTTGGGAAAAATGAAATTTTGTCGCATTTTTTATGGAAGCACCCCCGTATCTCACGTAATTGTCTTCATCTTTGGACTTTCTCTTCCTCCGGAAAATTTCAGAACACTACCTCTATAATTACGTGAGATACGGGGGTGCTTCCATAAAAAATGCGACAAAATTTCATGTTTCCGAACTGAAAATTTTCCAGAAAAAATTTGAATAGTTAGTAAATTGGGCGTCCTGATTCCAAATCTGAAGTGATTTTCGACCTATTTTGACTCCTAATATCATTTTCCGGAAATTGAGGTAGTTTAATGGCTGTTGGCGAGCAGCTAGTGTACAGGGTGGACAACTAAGAATCCAGAGTTCGATAGCTCTGTTGCCTTGAGAGATACAAAAAATGTTTCGCATTCAAATTAAAGTGATAACCGAGCTTCACATTCCAAAATCTCTTTGAAATACACAGGGTGTTTCGTAAGGTCACAGCACATCAAAGCTATGTTTTTTTCATTGGAACACCCTATATTTTATCTCATTTTTGAATCCTTCCTGAAGATCTGATTCCAACGACGTATCATACTTAGGGTCTAGCAGTGAAAGTTACTGACATATAGGGTGTACAAAATCGAGATTTTCCAAGTTCAGGATTTTTTTCTGTAGAAACTGTTAATTATTCGTCAAAACGGTTTACATGTCCCTATCTCAACTTTTTACTCAATTTCAATTGGTTTTCAACTGACATTTAATTGAAACAAATTATAAATTAAGATTTTTCGACCACCTTGTATCAATTTCAATTGAACACCAATTGATAGTGAGTGAAAAGTTGAGATAGGGACATGTGAACCGTTTTGACAAATAATGAATAGTTTCGACAGAAAAAAATTCTGAACTTGGAAAATCTCGAATTGCACATCCTATATGTCAGTAACTTTTACTGCTAGACCCTAAGTATGATGAGTTGTTGAAATCAGATCTTCAGGGAGAATTCAAAAATGGAATAAAATATAGGGTGTTCCAATGAAAAAAACATAGATTTGATGTGCTGTGACCTTACGGAACACCCTGTGTATTTCAAAGAAATTTTGAAATGTGAAGCTCGATTATTACTCCAATTTGGATACATTACTTTTTTTTGTATTTCTCAAGACAACAGAGGAATCGAACTCTGGAGTCTTAGTTGGCCACCCTGTATATCACTGAAGATGACCCCACTTGGTCATAGAGTGCATTTTTGGTACCTATATCTCTCGCTCCAGCAAATTTCAGGATCCTTACAACGATTACGTAAGATACAGGGGTGGTTCCATTAGGAGTGGGTCACACTGTATAAGCAGCCCACTAGAATAGGATATTCAGTTTTGATCTTCTCCTGAAGATACTAACATAGTTAGCAAAACACGTGTCGAGGCGTTTAAAAAATCGGTTTGCTCAGTGTTAAAACAGTGTAGTGTGTTATTGCCTATTGATATTTTTTGTGTTTTGGCAGATTGATGGCTTATACTGGCTCTCTTCGTCTGATGGACAAAACCTTACCTTTCGTTCGAATCTGCGCCCTTTTGGCCTGCGAATCCACCGATCCTAGGACTTGCGGCAACAGTGCGGCCAGCTCTTCCACCAAATTTGAGAATATCTCCGTGACAACCGATGTTTGTCTAGGCCAAAAGGATTTCTTCCAGCCTCTTTATTTGACTACGGACCTCCTGCCTATTTACAATACTCGTTACGAGAGTATTATAAAGAAATATTGTACTCGTTTGACTCTGAGTACCTCCAGAGAGCAGAAGAACGTCCTGGCTTTCGGATTTTATGGTAGTGGGGGGGCTATGCTGAATTTCAGTTGTTTTGTGGTCAGTTTTATGGTGATTGTAACTTATTTCATTTAAACATAGGAGAATTGAGTTTGGAGTTTTAGATGATGTGTTCGAATGTTTTGATAATCATAAATTTGGTCTACAACAATTTATTCTTGTTTTTGTTATTTCATTTGCATATTGACTCGGTAAAAGTGGCTTTTTTATGGAACTTATTAACATGCATAGAAAGTGCTTTTACTGCCTAGGCAGGCCTAGGCAGTTCGAATTATGTCTTTTTTCAATAGGTGGTCAGAAAATGTAGTATTGTGGTATTTTTGAGAAGAATTGATGACATATTATTATTGAGAATCACTTTGAACATATCTGTACTGATTTTCATCATTCAAAAATACGATGGGTATGAGAAAACAATTAAAAAGAAAAAGTAGGCAATATTTTTTCATCAACTCAAAAATAGTAGATTGTTTTATTAGGATCAAAAGTGACACTTTGTTTGACAAGCGAATTTTGCATTTGCGAGGCGGAGCGTTTAGCGAAGCCGAGCGAAAGCAAAATTTGCGAGTCGAACAAAGTCACTTTTGATCCGAATGAAACATGCTATTTTTTCTGCAACCGAAACAATTAACTCAAATAAACATGTGAAGTAACCATGCACCAATGCCGTGCCATATGTATGCAATGCAACAAATATTGACAAATAATCCGTGTGGTGAGAATATTCTGCCTGCATTAACAGCAGGTTAGGTTTTCTAGGATGTTCGAATTGTAGTTTCAATATAAAAACAACCACAGAGTGACATATTTGTGTATGGACCATGTGCTCTAATGGCAAATACCGCGCCAGTGCTAGCTATAGGAACAAGACGTGGAAAATGTTAGGTTAGTGGGCATATCAACAATGATAATAGTGATTATTTATTCCTCTCCATACTACACTGTGTTTGACTTGATAATCAAATGGAGCTAAACAATATCGTTGTTTGGGACAAAAAAACTATTGCTTGCCGTGATTATTCAAAAACAAGTTATCCATCCCGAGAATAACGAATGAAATACAGCAAGCAAGCAAGCATTTGAATCTTGAAGGCTTTCCTGATCAAAACAGAAATACTTAACTGATATGTTTATAATTTCAATACTAAACTATACTGAGGTGTATTTATATCTCCAGCATGGGTATGAAATGCCAAATCTGCTGAAATCGGAAACAATTCAGGTATGCGTCTCAACCCAAATAACCAACCGTCACAATGTTGTTTACTCTTGATGACGTCCAGTAGATCCTTTTTAGTTCCTAGGAGCTAAAGTTGAACTTTAGCTCCTAGGAACTAAAAAGGATCTACTGGACGTCATCAAGAGTTAAAATTCAACTTTAGCTCCTAGGAACTAAATATGTTGCCTAGCAACATACCTATTTTTGTGTCAGTAATAGAAACATCAATTTAAGAGCTAATTTTGGTATCAAAATGGACGACTTTTGTGCCGGTTGCAGAAAAAAAATATTAATTTGATTTTTTGAACACCCTGTGTTTAATGATGATGAAAATTGGCACAGGTATGTTCCAAGTGATCCTGATTCATCTTTTTATTTTGAGTGAAGAATTATCAGGATGAAAAATATTGCTTACCTATCCTTTTTAATTTTTGTATATTCAAATGACAAAAATTGGTACAGGTATATTTGAAATAATCCTCAATGATAATTTGTGATTATTTCTTCCTAGAAAAACCACAGAACTACATTTGCTGATCACCTATTTGAAGAAAATGATGATTCGTTTTTTCGGACACCCTGTGTTTTATGATGATGAAAATCGCTACAGGTGTATTTCAAGTGGTACTGATTCAGAATCCATCATCAAGTTTCGTGGAAAAAAATCCCTAATAGTACTTTCTGGAATATGGGTCATTGAAATTTGTCGCAGTTGGCCACGATAACAGTCCAAGAATTAGATCACTCTCTCGTTCGATGGGCATTTCAAATACCTATCCAACAAAAAAAGGTTTTTTGAAATTTGTCGGATAGTAACGATTTTACAGGGGTGGTAAGTCCTTAAGGTGGACACACTGTATAGGATTTTGGTCAAGTTTAGTTACGAACGACACTGCGTATACAAAAATACCGACCGTTATCCTCACTTCACGGATGAATTATAATCCTTAGATCGTGCTCAACCTACCTCGTTACAGGCAAAAAAAGCCATTGATTTGTATAAATATTCTTTATTACCATTATTGAAACGAAGGACAGTAAACATATATCATACATCTTCATATAAAATTTATATTATTAGAAAACAAGAACATTCACAAACAAAACAAATCAGTAGTCATTCTATATTATTATACTAATATGTACATCAGTAGCTAGGAATTTTCGCTGAATTGAGGATTCGAATTCGTTAATTTTCTAGGCCTCTGAAATATATCCTTCAATAAAAGATTTATGCCTAATTATTTTTGGCTGAAGCATTTTACAGCAATTTCAGAAGACCGTTGAAGACAATTCCATTAGAAGAAATCAATGTTTAGTCATTGTATTATTTCAATACACATACAAATGTTCAGTTTGAGAATAATCACGAAATCCTCAGTCTAAGGAATACTACAATGATTGATTCATTTCACTAGTAGATAGGCGAAGAGGATTCTTAGTCAATTATTTATTCGTTCAGTCAAATCTATCCTCACCACTTTCAAATATACTTACAAAATGATAAATGTCGATTGAACACATTCGAGAACCTGGGCCAAAGGAAATATATCTAAAAACATATCAAAATACAAAATATCGAATGGAAATAATATCGATCGAACGAAGAGAATGTCGAATGGAAAAAATATCAAATGGAAAATATATCGAAATTCTATTCATCGCTGAAAGAAAATATCGACTAAAAAAATGATACAAGTTTTAAAAATTGACTCTACTTATTCTAAACAAACTAACCTGAATTTCATTTTTTTTTCGTTTATTTTGAGATGGTATCTCATGATACATTTTCAATTCTGTTATAATTTTTTCTTTCAAAATACCTTCCAGAAGTTTCCATGTTTTTCAAATACTGTCTGTAGAGGTTAATCGAGGAGGTGGTACATTCATTTTACTTGATTTTTTTGGGTTTTCTCTCCTCATTTCTATAAAATAAAAATATGCTTATTATTTCAATATACCGGGTGGCTACGGAAGTATTGCCTACGGAATATCTCAGTTATTGTATGAAGTAGGTTTGTGAAATTTGGAGCGTCGATATAATGACATAAGAGCTAAAATTTGAGCATATTGACATGTCAAAGTTAACTTCCGGTCTGACCGGAAGTAACATCAACTTTCTTATTTTAAATGGAAACCGAGTAGGCCGTGGAAGCCAAATGGAAGGCAAAAAATGCTTTTCCATTATATCATCAGAAAGGAATGGTTATGCTGAATAGTACAGGCAAGAAAAAATTGTATTTTTCTATTTAAGTTATGGACCTACAGAGTATTGTTTTTTTCCCAATTTCTCCAATATTTTTTTTGTCGGCTTTTTATAACGCCGACGAATGAAAATAAAATATCACAGTAGTAGCAACTGTTATCAAGTGACGTAACGTTTCCATAGCCAACTTTTCAATTTTTGGCTTTCATTTTGCTTCCACGGCCTACTCGGTGAATTTCAATAATAATTTTTTTCTGATCTAGTTTCTGGTTAGATAGCAACTTGTGATATGTCATTAGAAAGGCAATTGAATGCTGAATAAAGCGAACAGAAAAAAAAATAGGGTTTCCATTTGAAATAAGAAAGTTGATGTTACTTCCGGTCAAACCGGAAGTTAACTTCGACATGTCAATATGCTCAAATTCTAGCTCTTATGTCATTATATCGACGCTCCAAATTTCACAAACCTACTTCATACAATAACTGAGATATTCCGTAGGCAATACTTCCGTAGCCACCCGGTATTTGTAGTGGGACAAATCAGATGATTTACCCCAAAATGTCACTGCGTTTAACAAATTTTTTTATCAGGGAGCCTAAAAGAAAAATCCAGTTGCTTGTCAGTGACACTTTGTTTGAAAAAATGTTTGAAGGAAAAAAATATAGATACCTTAAAAAAATGTCGAATTTTCACTTATCTTTGGACGTTTCGGGAACGAATCTGCTCTGGATTTTTCTCAAATCATCTGATTTGTCCCACTACAAATATATTGAAATGATACGCATATCTTTATTTTATAGAAACGAGGAGAGAAAATCCCAAAAAATCAAGTAAAATTATGTTTTTCGTTTGATATTATTTCCATTCTTGCTTTTTCGATATCTTGTTTTCCTGTATGATGTTTCTCGATATACCTACATATTTTCATTAAACCCTGAAACCAACCAGTTCCCAAACAGCCATAGGGTGGCTGAAAAAATAACGCTTCGGAATGTCCGTCAGAATTTTATAGTGTTTAAAAACCGAATTTTTCACTATCTCGCGGCACTTTAAACGCAACTCTCTGGTCCTGGAATGGAGTCCGCTATGATGTGATCCCTCCTAAGTGTGGCGAAGTTCGAATAGGAGTTGTCTCTGGGCCTGGGCCTAGTCCTCCCAAGGGTGCTGCTACTCGTATCACAAGGTGGAGACTGAAACAACAAAATCTACCGTAGTTCCAGAACAGTCAAATGAATGTATGTACAGTGTGACCCACTTCAAATGGAAACACCCCTGTATCTTACGTAATCGTTTTGGGTAAGGATCCTGAAATTTGCTGGAGCGAGAGATATACCAAAAATGCACTCTATGACCAAGTCGGGTCATCTGAAAAGTTCGACAACATTTAATTTTCCAGAACTGGAAATTTTCCTGGAAAATATGAATAGTTAGTGTATTGGGTGTCCTGATTCCGAATCTGAAGTGATTTTCGACCTATTTTGACTCCTAATATCATTTTCCAGAAATTGGGGTGGTTCCATGGCTGTTGGCGAGCAGTGTATATCACTGAAGATGACCCCACTTGGTCATGGAGTGCATTTTTGGTATATATCTCGCTCCAGCAAAATTCAGGATCCTTACACAACGATGTATAATAATATATGATTTCATGTTTTGATGCCGCTATTATGATTATCAGTAAAAAAGTGTTCCTATATACGGAATTTTATCTCATAAGTATCATTTTGGTATCAGGTATGATATACAGGGTATATCATCATGACTTAAAACTATACATGGAGAACTATAAAGGTGGCACGATTGGAGAAATTCATATTATCGGTGAAGGAAACATGGAGAATCCAATTGAAATATTTTTGTTATTGTTTAAGCTCCCGGTTTTTTTTTTCGAAAGTGACGTAATCTTTGTTATTTTCAATAGGACAATATACAAGGTGTAGCAGGATAACGTGGCATAAATTCTACAGGGTGAACTGGAGACCAAAATAGGCCGATTGAAATCAACTTACTTAATTATTTCATTTTCAGATTTTCTTGAATATTTCGAAATCCTTGAAAGGTACCTGCTGTGATATCCGTAGGATAATATGCAATCATGATGTGCATGGAAAATATGTCATACTAATTCAATCAATATACAGGGAGAGAGATATTTTGCATTTGTATTTCGATATCTCAATGAAGGACAAAATCAATTATGTAACTTTTTTTCACTGCAGTTTTTTTTTATATTTTTCATTGCTTCTTGAGATTTCAAACAAAATTCATTTCAGCGCTTCTCCACACTCGTTTATTATATCAGAATTATCTACCATGTTTTGCAGAATCATAACCTCATTTATTTGTTGACTATTGACCACAATAACTACCATTTCGTAAGCACATCATCATCTAATGATCTGGGAGGTGAATTTCCAAATTTCATTCCTTTTTTTCTCGAAAATAACTTCATTCGAAAATGAGAGAAACTCGTCATATGCTGAAGAAATTCATTATAGTTATTTATACACCTAGGTGTATTATTAACCAGGAACCAAGATTATATCCCGAGGCCACTAGCGATATATTTCCATCATAATAATTCCGTGAAACTGAAAATTTGACCTATTGTGACTAAGAAAGCACTAATTTTCAATTCTAATTGAAATCTAGTAGACATGACCATGACCATGATTACCAATTCTTTTCAAAGTATCTTGGGATGTTGCATAGCATCAAACTTTAACTGCCTACAAACAAATAGAGAGAAACTCAACTGACTATATGAGCAGATTTGTCAAATGTCTAAAGTGGAATGCGAAATCGGCACCACTGTTAAAATTATAGGATTTAAAACTTTTAATTATTGAAAATGAGAGCAGAAACAATTTCTTGGACCTTTCGCGAAATTACAAAAGGCAATGTATATTAGACAACTGACATGCGATTTGACACTTACTGCTGCCAATAGATAGTACAAAAAAATGTCTAATGAAATATGGTCAATAATGAATATTATTTTGTTGATGCTGATGCGTTAGGAGGAAATAATTATAGAGGCCGAATACGGTTGGGGAATCACTATACAGTGTGTATATATGCCCCCCTAATTATTGAGGTACCTACAATGAAATACAAAGGAATTCCCTGGAGCGAGATAGGTACAGATCACCCTGCATAAAGGTACTTATAGTACTCACCTGTTTGATTGACAATGGAGAGGAGCAGTTGAGTTGATGTCTGCTATTTATATCGAGTGTTGTGAAGAGATTTTCTGGTCTCACAGAGTCAGCACCTTGAAAAAATTTGAAACAGTTTGGAAATATGCTCGAAATTAATATTGATGAGTGAAGCCATAGGTTATAGGATAAAGATACATCTTCAGGAAGGAATATTATCATCACTTTGAAATAGGGTTATTAAGTAGGTAAATGAAAATTGGTGGGTTTGATGAACAGATACAATTTAGCATTTATCAATTTATTATGAAGATGAGAAATTAATTATTTATCTGAAGTTATAATTGATATACCATCAGGACCAATTTACTTACTAATATAATCTTCATTGGTAATATGTTCTCATTTTCAAGGTAGGAAACTATAGCAGTTTCGTCTCAATGGTGACTGAATATGCACAGGGTGTTTAACGATAACTTGACGTCTAGTGAATTCAGGAAACCAAATTGCATTTTAGAATTTGTCAAAATTCGTCAACTCTTGTTTTTGGAAAGAGCATTTTACTCGACAGGCAAGCCATCTTAGTATGTTCATCCCTCCAACCCGTCCTAGCACCTCGGACTCGGTTAGTCAGCCTTTGGTCTCAGGTCGATGAATCTGTCAAATCTCAACTGATTCCCAACAAACGAGGAACCCTAGTAATTTCACTAGAACAGGGGTTCGAAATGATCATTGAAAGTGGGGTATCTTCTTTCTCCAAATTTTTGGGACTGTCCTTCCTCGCCTTTAATATTTAAAATACTATTATTTTCTGACTCGGCCCCGTAAACAATTTTGGTTGGCTTTATGATGGCCCTTAATACGAACAATAATGGGCCAGTCCCAATAGAGGACTCTGGCCGTCATCAGGACTAGTACATGTGGTTACAAATCGAACTTTCATTCCAACTGAGCTTACTACACGTTTATTGAAATGGTATGTGTGTACAGAATTTATTTGCATACGTACAGTCGTCTTCAACGAACATGTCGCGGTTGGACGGTATGAGCGCTCTTATTACAGCGGTGATCAAGGGAACTGACACCGTCCATGTGCGACATGATCTCTGAAGACGACTGTACAAACAATGAACAAGAAAAAACATCCGATTCTCTGATTGACTATCGAATTTCTGTCATACCTGTTTTATGAGTCAGACGACTTGCCTTATTTTTTATGGCCGAATTTGAAGACTTCCGTGATGATATTCAAATTCAAACGCCAGGCTGTGTAGGATAGTTCCATTTGGAATTTGAGGCTGGAGTTGCTAAGGGTTATGGAGATAAGCATATCAAGTTGGTGTGACAGTCAGAAATGCTTCCCTCATCAACAGAAGATACGGCAAATTCTAATATAAAAATCGGTTTTCATGGGTTTATGCATGTAAACCTACGTGCCGCATTCGCCATAACTTGAACCTTTGAGGATTTGGTGAAAGCGCTTGCATGCGCCATAAGTTTGATTATTTGGCGGACACTGAGTCATTTCAATAATAATTCCACCCACCATTACATTCCAACCTTGTGAATTTTGGTTATTAAAGAAAACACATAAAACGTTCAGGAAAGTGAGTTCACTGATACAAGCTAAATACCATCACTTTATCTCTCAACCACATAGCAAGGTTCGAAAAAGTGGAATTTTGATTATTGATTTCTGGCAATATGATCTCGCAGTTTCGATTTCATCTTTTTTTATTTTTCTGTTATCTCGTCAACATCGAATTTTCGCTAACTATCTAAAACCAAGGTTGACAATGGAAGAGTATCGATTGTTTTTTCACTATGATTGGGTTCAGGTTAGTCAAGTAACTAATGAAAAGTTCATTTGTTGTTTTCATTAAAGTATTTAAGCATTTTATCGGAAGTTTAGTGATCATTTACATATTTTTTGAGTTTGAATTCTTCCGTAGATTATTTCGAATCATTATTTCTCGGTTTCACATCTTATTCAAGACATTATTTTCAATGCATTTAACAGAAATTGATAATTATCAACTTCGAGATTGATTTCAGTTGCATTCTATTCCCAGAAGTGGAAAGTTCCGGATGGAATTTGAAAATCCTTACTTAAAAGTTGAACACAAATGTTCAATTTCTCCTACAGGGTTGATCAATTATTCGCACATACGTCCAGCATTAGGGACTATTTATTTTTCATATACACATGTAGATGGATCGACTACAATATAGAGGTGCATCTCAAATACTTACTCTGAGAACTTCAACATCATATTCACTCCACATAATTTGCAATAATTATTTTCACTACTGAATGAGAACGAAATGCAAACTGACGTAACCTCAAATTGTGACATTTTAATTTTGCGTATCTCATGTATTAGATGTAGCGAAACATACTTTATTGAACGAATATCTGCTGAAAATCTCTCTCGAATCTCAAGAGTACACGAATAAAAAGTCAAAAGTAGAGTTTTCTTTTTACTTAGATCACTACCAAAAAATCGTAATAATACACTCAAGTAAATGAACAATTTCGAAACACTCCTCCCAGAAATTATAACGCACTACCAAAAAGTAGGCAAAAGTTTGAGATCCATTTTAGTCAAAATTACTCGTCCGATTTGAATGTTTTTCATTTTGAATGACAGGTTATCTCCTTCTGAACATTAGTGTGTAAACTATTTCCGCATAAAAACCTCTTTTTTATGCATACCGGATGCAGCAATCATAGCGTGATTTCACATAAAATTTGTAATACTCCGTGTAATAGTAATAAACATTTTTATATCTCTCCTATTAATTGAGAAACATCATTCAATAGCGTAACATGATTTTATGAATATTAATATTTAACAATTACGAAAAAACGAAACAGAATGCGGAGTCTCAAGTTAAACGAAAGGGTCAGTAGTGAATGTTTCCGCCAAGGGCAAAGAAAACTTCTTGACAAAGATGGCACTTCTTGGCAAAGATGGCTTATACTGAGAATGAGAGACATCATGTCATTTTGGTACATGTCATCCCAAGTCAGTCTCTGCCGTGCGTATTTCAAAGTCTTCAAGTTACGTTCCTCTTGTCTCCGGGCTCCGACCTGGCAATGCAATGGTAGCGATACAGACTTCCTTTAGATTATTTCTCACAACTTAGTTTGCATCAAAAAGATCCTCGAATAATTTATGTGGTTCTAAAATCTCCAATGTGTACCTATCAGCTGTAAGGCTTCCATCTTCCATGTATGATCACAGGTTCTGTGTCGAAGAAATGTCTCTCCAGACCATAGCCTACGTATGTGTATACAGGGTGGGTCACGGTAGATGGCACCTTAGACGTTTACGGAGAACGGGACATAAGATCATTCTGAAAATTTGGTGACTCAAGTAATTGCTCTTGATCTATCGATCTAAAATATTTTCAGCTCTGGTAATTGAATTCAACGATATCATGTTATGCTTTGAAATTGTGTTTCTGGAGTATTAGAAAAGATAATGGAGTGAATCCAAAGAAGAAATGTTGAAAAAACATAAAGCTAAGGTGCAATTTCAATTATACCTTGGTAATGTAACTGTTACACTCTACAGGGTATTTCAAGTTACATTAAAAAACACGATATAATTGCTACACCTGGTATTCATAAAAAGAAGGTTTGAATGCGGATTCAGTTTGCATGCCAATATTGAGAAGGAAATAACTTTTCATTCAAAACAAAAAAATTCCATATCGGACAAGTAGGTTCGACGGAAATGCATCTCAGACTTTTGGATACTTTGATTTTTTTGAGGAAGTGTAGTTCCACAACCAGCCACTTTGGCGCTGCGATCCTGAATTCAGACGCCTACTGTTGTTATGCATTTGATCAACAATTGTGGAAATGACTTTGAATTTTTGATTTATTATTGATAATCATAACAATATCATCAATGGACCCCGCACTTTCCCTATGGAAAATGGCTTTCTGTTAAATTCCCTGAATCTTTGGTATGATGTAGATTTTGACTCCCTAAGCGAAAGTGCCCATGGGCACAAAGAAATCGGCTGACTAGTTTTCGAAATACAGGGTGTCAAAGATGAAAAGTGAAGCTTTCTGCTCAGAATTTTTGACAACTAGGAGAATTGACAAAACGCCCATTTATTCATGAAATAACATGCCTGAATGATGGTACAATGTCATCTGGATCTCGTATCCATTATAATTTTACGATTTGGGCTCTACAACAGGGTGAACAAAGAAAAATCCAATTCGATTAATTTTAAACCATCCAGGGTAAGTTCTTTCATGAGACTTGAACATCCAATTGAAACCTGGATGAACTTCCTCAATCTCGATCGAAGTTTACTAACATTTTTTCTTATATATAGGGTGGTTCGAAAATAGGGGTACGTCAATCCCTAGGTTTTTGAATCGGAAAGCAACTTGGACTGTATCATTTTACTCATCCTATATATATATGAAATGAGTATGCGACGTTCTCAACATTGAAGAATGTCTGATATATTATATATATGACATGCTCTCCCCGAGTCCGGAGACCTTATGCTGATATTGATGACAATATCTCGGACTCCTCAAATCGTACATTATATCGAAAATTCAAGAAAATTAACCGATTCTTTTTCTAAATACAAGGGTAGTCGTTGCTGACTAGTTAGGAATAAACTAGGGAATATTGGGGACTGCAGCAAAGTCAAAAGAGTACTCTTTAAAGTTGGTCCAAGCTTTCGAAAATCTTTATTCTCATCATCAGGGAGTCTGTAAAGTGATTATTCATGAGTATCATGTAGTTAGAGTGATGAAATCTTTGTGTACTTACAACTTACAACCATCCTCAACAAAGTTGTAAGTACACAAAGATTTCATCACTCTAACTACATGATACTCATGAATAATCACTTTACAGACTCCCTGATGATGAAAATAAAGATGTTCGAAAGCTTGGACCAACTTTAAAGAGTACTCTTTTGACTTTGCTGCAGTCCCCAATATTCCCTAGTTTATATAGTTATATATAACATGCTCTCCCCTTTCCCATTCAAAAAACTAGGGATTGACGTACCCCTATTTTCAAACCACCCTGTATATGACAAAAAATTTCAGTAAACTTCGATCGAGATTGAA